TCTGGAGACCTAGGCAGATGGAAGAATTTGAATTCAATAGGAATCTTGAATTAAGAGTCTAATAATGACCATGAAACCATTGTCGATTTGCGGAAAAGTCCATCTGGTTCACTAATATCCTTTAGGGAAGTAAATTTGCCATTCTTGGTCTGGCTTGGGCAGTATGGTGGTTCAGTAGTTAGCACTGCTGCCCCACAGCATCAGGGACGTGGGTTCAATTCCACCCTTGGGTGACTGCCTGTATGGAGTTTGCACATTCTCTGTGTCTGCGTGGGTTTTCTCCCACAGTTCTCCAAAGATGTACAAGTTAGGTGGATTAGCCATGCTAACTTGCCCATAGTGTCTGAAACATTTTTAAAAAACCATTGGAAAGGAAAGAACAACTTATACAGCTTGAGAAGAGGATGCCTATTGGTTGACCTATTTTCAGCATGGCAATGCAGCAAGAACTGTGAGTTAATTAAATTCAGACAAGGCAAATCTTCCCATGGCAAAATGTTGACTGTACAGCAGGGATTGTCTATCTCTGGAATCTTTTTCTGAGTGAAAAAGGAGAAATGTGTAAACATATTCCTTAAGCATGGTGGCACAGTGATTAGCACTGCTGCCTCACAGTACCAGGGACCCAGGTTTGATTCTAGCCCTGGGCGACTCTGTGTGGAGTTTGCACGTTCTCCCCGTGTCTGCGTGGGTTTCTACCTAGTCCTCTGATTTCGTCCCACAGTCCAAAGATGTGCACATTAGGTGAATTAGCCAAGCTAAATTTCCCATAGTGTCTAGCAATGTGCAGGTTAGGTGGAAAATGCAGGGTTACAGAGATGGTGTAGGGGATATGTCTGGGTGGGATGCTCTTTGAAGGGTCGGTGTAGACAGAATGGACCAAATGGCCTGCTTTCACACTGTAGGGATTCTATCAATTTGCCTATTTAGCAGGAGATTTGATTTCTGTAATCCTGTGCTGGCTTTATTTAATAATTGGCTTTTGAATTCATCAATGCATAATTTTGATTTATAATGTAATCACATAAAAATGTGAGGTTAACTTTTCATTATTCCGTTATGAAATGTTTTTTGTTACTTGGTAGGTTGATTTTGAAAATTATTTTACAGTGATATCCAAACTGTTTGAAATATATACCACAGGCTTTTAAACTGGTAAAATATTTTGTAGTTGGTAGTTGCCTGACAGTGATAGGCTTCCAGTATGTCTTGAGAAAAGCTAAGGGAGCCTCTGACTGCAAATGTATGAATTGCTTCTTGAGGTGAGGATGCACATAGGATTTGTTAAACATTCCTAAGGAAAATGTTGAATTAAATCACACTTTTACCATTACTTCAAATCTAAATGTTCAAAGGATTTAGAAAATCTTTTGCGGATTTTACATTAATCAGTGTTATGTTCATAATTTTTACTGCACGGCTCAATTAGCGGCTAGAGCTTTCTGAAAGCTTTAGCAAGTTTCACGAACATACTCATAAGTGTTTCTAGATTTTATTTGCATTTTACAGTCTTTAATTTGAACTTCTCTCTCTGTTTTTTTTGTTTCACTTGAGCTTCCTGCATCTTTCTGTGCAATGCTCATCTCTGCCAGGTCTGCAATACCTGAGTAGCAAGAGAAGAGCTAGTACAGTATGTATAAATCCTATTGCTAGTACAGTAGTAATTTGGTTTAGTCAGTCCCTTACAGTTCCAATGTGTGGCTAGCAATAATCATAAATGGCAATTCAAGGAATGCCCAAGGTTTAATACCTGCCTCAATCGAATATGTAAAGCTTGGGGTGATAGCATAGTATCTAACTTAGTTAATTACTTTGTAACACAATTGTTAGTTTAAGTGCGATCATCCCTGATCTTCCATTTCGCTTTAAGATGTTGGATTACTTGATCCCAACAATACTATTTTTCTGGACTTTTCAAAACTATCCCTTACTCTGGGTCATTTGATTTTGCTGTGCAGTTTCCACAGCCATCTTGTCAAACAGATAACATTGAATAGTCGGCAGTTTTTTTGGATGTGAGGAACATGTGACCCTGTTAAGTTTTTCCAAGTTTATTTAAGAAAAATTTATGATAAAGATTATCCTGCTAAAGGCCTACGAGAAGCAATGAAGTAGGAGACGAATAAAGCTGAAAAAAGGGCGCTCATGCTTTGTCTTTCAGAATAAATTTAATCAAAATCATGTGACATAATTCTATTTTTAAGTAATTTAGTTATACTTACCAGCTTTCATGTAATGTGTTATATCCTGAACTGGCTCAATGCCTTAATATATGGAGTAACAACTCCATGTTTGAATCATTTATTGGCTTTAGCAACAATTATGTATTTTTCATTATTCAGCCCTTTGTTTCAGTCAATGACAATTGCTGCTATGATTGTAACTTCCTATGGTTCCTGCTCTCTTTTCGTTCAATAATTAGTTGTAAAGCCTGCTTATGCCTCAGCAATATTCAGCCTAAGCCTTGCTTGTTCCTTCTCTTCAAAAGCATCCTTAAAACCTACTTCTACAATCTAGCTTCTGTCACAACCATAATCTTTCATAAATTTCATCTTTTTTTCCTATATTTGTTCAGCACTGCAATTTTCTATTGAGTTTAAGGTGCTATATGGTATAAGTTATTTTGAATTCAAAATAAATTTATATTGACATGCATCATAGAAAATAATTTATACGATTATATTTATACGAAATGTACTTTTGAAAGACATCTTAAGAGCCATTTAAAGGGACTTACATTATATCTTCTCCATAAATTTAAGCTTATCTGGAAAAATCAATATAGGAAAGCATTTTGCGCTACTGGTTTGACTAATAACACTTAATGTTTGGTCTATGAACTTCACATTGAATGGCTCTGGTAGGGCTTTGTAGTCAACAGGGATGTTGCATTATTAGCCGTCATATCTGATTGTGAAATGCTGGCCTTTCCAGATGGCTGCTTTCAAGTGCAAATGAACTGGTTGCACACTATCTAGCTTAATACATATTTAGGATTCACAAATAGTCATTAATTTTTTAAAATACTTTTCTGCAATGTAAAAGGCTTAGAATAAATGGTTTCTTGAATATTAGGACAGTTGGTCTTTTAATTAGTACAGACAAAAAACCACAGAGTCTACAAATTAAGAAATAGTACCTAAGTAATGCTGTTTGCACTTTGCAAAACATTTTTAATGTATGTTGATATTCTACTTAAAATATATTTTTCTTTAATGTACTTATTGCTATTTGAATGTCATATTTCTTTATATTTAATACGCTTTTGCAGATTTTCACTCGAATTTCCTTTGAACTATATTTGTCTGTTTTACACATTTTTTGTCATTTCTATATCTGTAATTTGAATGTCAAATTGAAAAGAGTTCTGCTTATCATAATCACAAATGCGCAAACAATTTTGTCATAAAAGCAACTTGAAACTCGTGTATATCTTACAGTTTGTGCAGTTGAGTTATTTTCAGCTGGTAAATGAGGACTTAAAATTACAATTTTTCTTTTCAACATTAAACATTATTGGACCAAACTTTCCAAAAAGGAATGGGTAAGATGAGCACCATAAACATACTGTGGAGTGGACAACCTCAAATTGGCATCTCTGATTCTAAGCAGTGATTTTCCAGTCTTTGTTTTGCCATTTGTGTTGTTACCGGGCATATTTTGAGGAAGATAGGTGGAAAATATTGGAAGAGTTAGCTTAAATCCCATTTTAGACTAAAGATTCGAGATTGCCTGTAGCAGAATTTAAAGATCTCTGATGTCTGCAACCCAGCTAAGGTTTACTTTAGTAATACAATAGCCCTTCTACAGAGAATATTTGTTCATGAGATGAGGGTGACACTGCCCATCCCTATTTGCCCATTGGGCAGTTAAGAGTCCACCACTTTGCTGTGGGTCTGGAGTCACATGTCGGCCAGACCAGGTAAGGATGGCAGTTTCTTTCCCTGATGGGCATTAGTGAACCAGATTTTTTTTTTTCCCCCAACAATTGACAATGTTTTCATGGTCATCATTAAACTCTGATTCTAGATTTTTTTATTGAGTTCAAATTCTGCCATCTACCGTGTGGGATTTGAACCCGGGACCCTGGACATTACTTGGGTTTCTAGATTAACAGTCAAATGATAATACCGCTCAGATCCTAGCTGATAAATTAATTTTATAGTTTTCTTGTATTGTAATTTAACTTCGGGGAGAATATGTATTATTAAATCTTTATTAAGATAATTCAGTGTAAGCCATAATTCAGTCTTGTATTCTTGCCTGAGTCCCATTCCTCTCCACAGTTTGAGCACAAAGTAACGGATGACAGACCCATGCAGTACTGAAAGAGTGCTGCACTGTTGGAGGTGTTATCTTTCAGTTGAATCAGTAAACTGTGGCCCTGTCTGCCAGATCAGGTGGATGAAAAGGACTGTGTCACTACTTAGAAGAGCAGGGGTATTATTCCTGGTGTCTTGGCTAATTATTTATACCTCAGTTATCATCGCAGAAACAGATAAACTTGTCATCATGAAGTTGATGACTGTGCACAAATTGGCGGTGGCCTACATTTCCTACATTACAATAGCTACAGTTCAACATTACTTGCTTGACTGTAAAACACTTTGAGATGTCTAGTGGTGTGAAAGGTGCTACAAAATGCAAATATTTTCCTTTATTTCAGAAGTGTCTTTAATTATGAGTTTTGATTTTGTTCTGGTATCTCACAGATAAATTGCTGCATTTTTTGAGTTGCTTATTTGATTGTAAAACTGATAATCTCAATTAAAAAAAGGAAGAAATAGTCTCAAATTATATGCCTTTTATAAAATCTCTTATGCCTCCTGTTTGTTCATTTCAGATCTTGGAAACTAATTGCAGAATGAATAAAATTGCTGCTAGATTAGTTCGGGGTGTGGGGATAAGCTGAAACTGAATTGTTTATGAAAGCAATGTATATTTGTACATAATTTATATTGTGATTGTTTTAACCGTATCCATTTTGTAATTGTTTTCAGAGTGCTGGAAAATATAGACAACAAGGCAGAAATTACATTGTTGAAGATGGAGACATTATCTTTTTCAAATTCAATACACCCCAGCAAGCAAAAAAGAAGTGAATTTAGCGTACAGCTGACTCCTGTCATAAGCAATAGAACATAATGGCCACGAAGTTGCAGACATTCAGACATGCAAATAAAAGGACTTAACCGTATCAGGGACTATATAAGGACAGTTTGTTAACTGGCAACAATTTGCATAAATTGGAACTTTGACAGGATTCTGCTTATTAATATTATATTTGTGGATTTAACGATGTTCTCAAGCAACTGAACTATTATTGAATCTTCTGTTAATTTCTTTTGGATATATTTGGCTGTAAATCATGGTTCAGACCTGTCTAGGGACAGCCTGTTCTTCCTTTAATTATATCCCTCATGTTTGTTCTGGGTTGAGATAATGTTATTCCAATGAAAATGTAGGTTCACTAAATGTCGACAGCTTTAATTTAAGATTAGAGCTCTACTCTAAATTGGAACATTTCAAGAACCATATTACTCTCATGATACTTCATTAATCTCCATCACGAGATGCCAAATCTGACATATTTGACAGAAAAGACAATGCCACTTGCTCCATTCTGAATCTACAGATAATGCATGTTTTACAGTACTCCAGATGTTTACAGTCAATAAAACATTTGACAAAAACAGTCTTGGTGTGTTTGGGGATGTCTGTATTGACTGACTGTGGTGTGTTGAATGTGATATGGCACCTGGTGGTTGCTGATTACAGAATTTAAAGACGTGTGTATGATACAGTAACTGTCACTGTGGGCAGCTTTTATTATAATTCAGAAGTGGTTCTTTTCATTAAAAGATAAAGATTAGGGTACTGTGATTTATTGAAAGCATGAATAGGTGGACATTTGTTGTGAGAATAAGTAGTTTCATGTCTGTATTATGAGAGTTCATGATCTGGATGGGTGTGATGCAGAAGCACAAATTTATGCCTTTTGGCAGAATTTTGATTTCTGTATACAACTAGGAGATCCACCTCAGTGGTTTGCTTTTATTCCTTTACAGTTGACCTCTTTAGATATTTATAAATGCATTTTGCAGTGTTAGTGATTAAAGCTCCTTTCTACTACAATAATACATTTGTCACTGGGTATACTTTGCGTATTGACTTTGCTGAATTCCTAAGTTAGTTTGAAATGCTGGCTTCTAACTTTTGCAAATATTTATCATATACCCTTCATTAAATTCACTCACTTAGAATGAATTTGCTGTTGTAAGTTTTTTTGTGTGAAATCAGTCAAAAACTAAAAGCCTAAAGCTCAGAATTCAGGCCAGTCAGCATCTGAAAGAGAAAGAAATCCCTGAAGGTTCATATTGAAACATTATCACATGCTTTTCTCTTTAAGATGCTAACTGATCAATACATTCCTGCCATTTGCACTTCAGGTATGCTGCTAGTGGACATTTAAGGGTCTGTTTTTAACTCTTTAAAGGATAAATTATGATTAAGTTAAAATCTCTTTAGCTCCAGACCTGTGTAATGACATCAAGAAATCCAGTCTGCTCTTCATCCACCATAAAACTTTTGTTGAAATTTGCACGGGAACAGTAATGGCGATAATTTTATGCCCGTGATTGCTGGTGGAAACGAGGTATGTGTCACAGAAATGAAATTTACCTCTTACTCTATTAACAGGAGAAGCTTCTTCTATAGCTTTACTGGTCAGACAGAATTTGTATTCAAAACATTACCTTGCACATGTGGCACGTTACCATCCTATGAATATGAAGATTACTGCATTTCTTTTCCAACAAAAAATGCAATAATTTTGATACTCTTGCTGAACTTTACATAGAGAATATAGGATTGCATCTTACCAAAAATTGACTAAGCATCAAATTTGGGGAATTTCATGGAGGGTTTTTCTCCAAGACCCCTAGCAAGTTATCTCATGCTGCTGCCAACTTCATTTTATATATATAGACCGCACTACTCTCTCACTATTTTGCACCTGCTAGTGGTGGAAGCATTTACTGCTGTAGGGACCATCCATGATTTGTGCTGCCCCAATATTTATAGGTCAGAAGTACACCAGTTTAAATGCTGAACAAAAACAAAGTTGCTGGAAAAGCTCAGCAGGCCTGGCAGCATCTGTGAAGGAGAAAACAGAGTTAACATTTCGGGTCTGTTTCTGAGGAACGGTCACCGGACCCGAAATATTAACTCTGTTTTCTCCTTCACAGATGCTGCCAGACCTGCTGAGCTTTTCCAGCAACTTTGTTTTTGTTCCTGATTTACAGCATCTGCAGTTCTTTTGGTTTTTATCCAGTTTAAATGCTGTCAGCCATAGTAGATCTTCACAGTACAAGTATTTGAAGGGAAATGAATAAGAAAAGCTTCTGCAAGCAAATAGGTGGCACTTTATTGGAATTAGAATCTCACATCCAGTAAATTTAATGCCACTTTACATCATCACCTGTCTGATCTGTTATAGTAATTGCAACTGCAAGTGTTGCGACTTATCATGCAAGAAGCCTGTCTGAAGATGTGCTACTCTTTTCCGAATGCCCATAACATCTCATTGTTCAATGTGAGAAAAATTGCAGGTTGGAAGGTCTTCAAGCAGTTGATAATGTTAACTTTTATTCAGAAACAAGAAGAGTGATGACAAAGAAACAGAAAAGCTGCATTTGCTTTTGGTGGTAATCTGGCACTACTTGACTTTTGACCAATAACAAATTTATGGTCACAAACGATGATCTCACCCACCTTGCATTTTTGGAATTGGGTGCCATTTCAGTCATAGTGAAGGTGATGTTCCCCTGCTCTATATCCCCATCTTCCTCCTTCGAAGACTGCTGCCAGCACAGCATCTAAGGATTAAGTGACGCACTGATGCATACTGCAAGCAGTTCAGTGAAGGTGTCTCAGGACAACTCAGTCTGGGTTGGCAATATTTTACTGATCTGGAAGAAATGATATCTAAGATTATAGACTTTGGGTTTGCTCCATTTCCTGAGGCAACTTTCAGCTGTGACTTCTTCCTGTAGAGACTGTTCGGCAGCCACTGGAGATTGCTAATGGCCCTAGACTTGTTTGCACATTTGTACTTCAATTTATCTTGCCTTTGCACCACCACTGCAGTGACAAATAATCCTGCTGTATCTGAATCCATCTGTCACTGTTGCAATGAACCTGTGTGGGGAATATCAAAAATAGGATAGGTCATTTGTAATGTGAACAGGCAGTAGTTAAATCTCACAAATTACACTTTAGTATAGTCCCTGATACAGTGAGATGTTGAAGACTCTGACAAGAAAGGCCGAGGAATGCCTATTCCAGTGGACCTTAATCCAGTGAATGCAACACATGCCATGTTACAAATGACTTAAAACTGTACTGTGAAACTGCCTGATTAATGCATTTGTCATTTGAAGTGCCTCACATAACTTACACATAAAGTTTGCATCCTCAGGCAGAAAAAGACCCCACTTACTCCACCCACTGCCGGTGGTGGCAGCTGTTTTTCACTTCCTTTGCATATTTGCAATTTGGATGAGAATGGAATTCAATACAGAACATGTTTTGTAGAGTGAACCACAGGCTCAGCCTGTAAATCTAGGTGACACTCCAAATCTTCCTTGCACTCCCTGTCAACCCCATCAGTTCAGAGTTTAGCAACGTTCCCACTCAAGTATTAACTTAAGTCTTCATCTTCCCACATTACCCCCTGAACTCTGGGCATTCAGTTAGTTATGCCAAGCCAAACACTGCACCAAACCCCCACCCTCCCTTCTGCAGTAACCTATGTCCTCTAATAACTATTGTCTCCCACCCTTATGTTCAGTTGCCCTTGTCGCAATTATTGCCTCCTCTGTATCCCAGCGTGCCGCCTCACAATTGACTTCCCAATTTGCCCACCATAGCAGTGACCCTTAACAAACACCTTTGACTCTCACTGAATAGAGAGGGATGATTGTTGTCCAGCCCCATGACTGACTTGGAACAGCATTCCCAACTGATTGAACTTCTCCTTGACTGACTTAGATTGAACTTCTCCTTGACTGACTTACTACTACTCCCTGAACTAATTGCTCTGGACCTACAAGACCGACCGTGACCCAGTGCCCAGTCTGCAGTGAGATGGAACGCATGACCCTAACCACTTCAAGTTCCTGACCTGAGATCAAACACTGCCCTTGACTGAGTGTGGTGGACACCCTGACTGTGATCACTACCCTTAATTGAGGACTGGTCGTCTTAAGCTGTGCCATGGTCACTTGTTTGAAGCCCACTTAATGTGTTTACCACATAAATTCCTGACACATGCTGTAGTTGTGACGATGTAGTACAGTGCTGTACAGCAATATGTCCATCCTTGACGGATCATTATTGGCAAACATGACAAACTATTTGGCTTTGTGTCTGCACTAAAGAGCAAGGCAAGACAGAAGCACTGTGGGGCTATAAATTGTGAATGACATGACAATGTGCAAAAGACAAGGCAAAGCAGAGATGCAGTGAGCATCCTAGTAAGTGCTGAGAAAACAAGCTACCAGCTCTGAGATGGGTACCTAACTCTGTGTGCAAGTGGCCTGGCAGCAGAATTAAAGGTGTTGGTGCTCTCCAAAATGCTAAATTGCTTTATGGTGAATCTGAGATGTGCCATGAGGATGTGGTGAGGCTGTTGCATGTATAGTGCTAACCTCTGTGGATGAAGGATGCAGTCGATCACTGAACATGAAGTATAACTGTAAATGTTGAGGACTGGAGGCCCAATAGAGGATGTGGGGAACTCTGTGAATCTGTTCAGAATTTCATGTTGAGAATTGTTGCCATCTAGTTTCTCCCCATCACCTGGTAAATTAGCAATCTGCATGTAAATGAGGTGAGAATAGGTAATAATGAGGTGTTAATGCATGCAAATAGGCCCCGCATTGCACACTGGTGTGATTTTCATCTTTCTGTTAAAACCTTTGATGGAAATGGGTGTTTTGTCTCAAGAATTTTTTGTTTCCAATCTTGCCATATTTTTCCAATTGATATTTTCCCATTATTCACATCATGCAACAGCTGGGAATATTCTGCCTATAGTCGTTATTGTATGTTGAAGTGTGTATCTGATACAGATGGCAGAATAATTATTGCTGTAAGATATTGTCTGTACTGTACCTGGAACAATCAAAGACATGTTTCCGATCTTGGTTGCTCATCCAGACAAGTGAAGAGTATTGTTACATTTCTAATTTATACCTTGAAGAAGGTAAAAGGGTTTTTGAAGAGCTTGGATGTAAGCTACTTGCAGAATTTCTACATATACTTATAGCCACAGTATTTATTTGGGTTGTCCACTCCATTTTTTGGTCAATGCTAACACCTGGATGAGGTGTTTAACAATGGTAATGCCACTGAATGTCAAGAGGTGATGGTTAGATTCTCTCTTGTTGGAGATGGTCCTTGTGTGACAGTAATGTTACATGCCACTTAGGGACTCAAAATAATTATTTTCTCCTCCAAGGACTACTCTTTGGCTCCTTTCGCAGTCCTTTTAATTCCTTCATTTGATGATGCAATCACTTCTTTTTGTTCATGCACAGGATCCAGGCATGAATTGCCAGATTGCCAGACGCAATGAAGAGACATTGCTATGAGTCTGGAGTCCCATTTAGGCCGAACTAAAGTAAGGATGGT